AAACCTTGAGCTCCTCCAGATGTGGGAATATGGCTTGAGGATTTTCCACAACATATTATAATTCTAGCGCATATATATGTATAAATACATATAAATACAATTCTCCTGTATTTGTTGCTAGCAATGACTTGTGCTTCTTACTGTGGGCTTTGTATGGTGGCTTCACTGACTGCTGGTGAAAATGTCAGGCTCTTGGCCTGCAAGATCTGTGACAAATGTGATTGTGAAAGGCATAAGTCAAGCCAATGTCATATTTTAAACAGAGTTATGTTCGATCAAGAGCTTCCCTGAGACCTGGGTCTCTTGTGTTCAGTGCTCTGAATTTCTCCTGTTATTCCAAGGTGTCTGTAGTGTATGGGGCTGTTCTGCCTTACTGGTTTGAGCCCATCTCTGATTTTAACTGTCTCCTTCCAAGGAGAAAGAGAAGCAGAATTTACCTAACAGGCAAGCTCTTAACAAAGCCTCGGATATCTGATACACATAATGGTCCCAGAGGCGTGTTTACTTTGGACTGAGTGAGTGAGTGAAAACCATTTTGGAAGGGCTTTTTCACCTCTAGCAACTTAACCTAACGAGGAGAAAAGTGATGTGGTTAAAGGGCTATTTAAACAATGGCATTAGTGAGCAGATTTAGGTTCTTGGGCAGTACATACATGTATTTGCCTTACACAGGTGCATAAATATGCATTGATTTGTATCACAGCCCATGTCACATAGACAGTGGTGAGATTTCAGCCATCCTCTGCTGATGGATGGTTTTTTTGGGGGAACCGTGAGCAAACAGCTGATTATTTTAGGAGGCTACAGAAGAACTGCCTGAAGATTTGGGACGCCACCCCTGAGTTCACCAGCTTCCTTTGTCTTCTCTGGAGGAGTGTTTGTGCAACAAGGAGTTTTGACTTTGAGGGCTCAGTCCTGTAACCAATTTAGGTGGCTGCAAGAGAGCTACAGGTGCCTCAGATTTAGACTGAAGGATGCTGCTCATTTCTGACCACAAGGTGCCATAAATGCCTGCACCAATTGATCAAGAAAACTGGAGAGAACCGTGAAATAAATGACTCCATGGGAAATCTTCTCATGCCGGACTGCTGCACTGCCACGAAAGTTCATGTTTTTAGACCCAAATGGATGACTGACCTCACGCTGACAGAACGCGCTGTCAACACTCATCCCTTGAAGAAGAGTCTCCCCTTTGCGCTTTGTCTCCTCGTGGTGATAACGTGAATGGAGATTCACAGATTACGCCCTGCCTCTTTCACACGATGGGGGTCCTGCTTACCAATCACTTCCCTCTTTCAACATCCTCATGGGGGCAATGAATCTTATTCCTAGGCCAAAGAGCGCTTGTCAAGAGCTGGGTTGACAGGCAGGTATGTCCTCCTTGGCCATGTTTTCTTGCATTGAATTGTTAATAGCTGAGATGGTTCACCTGAACCCTGCTGGTACCCAGCGCGCAGTACCTTGCAAAAGAACAATACAGGCTTAGATAGCACCGTGGCCATTTCACAAGTAGAAAAAAATAGCAAATAGGGGAAGTTAGGGCCAAATTGAGGTAAAATTCATCTCTGTGTCACGCCCCATATGCCTCTGCAGTCTTACTGAGGCTGTGAGACTGACTTTCCAGAGGCATGTAGGTACCTCTAAGTGCAGGGAAATGTCTAGCAGGATGTCGGAAAGGATCTGTACAGATCAGGTACACAAATTTCATTGTTTTACGTTATAAATGAAGTCCTTGACTTTAAACTCTTCCTATCTGATTTTAAGGGACCTGAATTCAGCTGTCACACGTTTGGGCCCATCAGAAAATTCTGCCAAGGTGCTGGTAAAACACATAAGTGCCTGCCTTTGACAGCCCGGTCCTGGGTGGCTTGTTGTAATTCCTTTATATCCATGCACATAGCGTGATGTGGAGGGGTCAAAAAGACTGGCACCCTCTGAAAATCTCCCTGAATGTTTGGGCTGAGCATTGCCTTGAGAAACACAAGCACTTACATTTAGGTACCTTATTTAGGCTCCTGACCCTGGAAATCTCAGCCGTCACCTTTCTGGAGAATTGTGGAAATAAACCAGATATTTAAGAGCAATTTTGTCCTGCAGATGTTTCTAATGCAGTGCTGGTCTTCAGCATTAGCTTTTCTCTTTGAGGTGTGCAGTCAGTGCACAGACAGGAACCCATGCAGGGTACAATGAGTCTTCTTCAATGAACTCCTAGGGCAAGGACGGTTTAGAAAAACACACAGGGAGTATTTAGTTGAGGAAAGGTGGGGAGGAAAAGGCACAGTGTTTCACCTGGTCAAAAAAAAAATGACAAAGCAACCCTGTGGCTGTGATTCACAGGTAACATTGAAGTGCTTGGTGCTGCTTTGTGTAGCCCAGCAGAGTTTGAATGGTCTCACGGTAGTTAATGCCATAGGGGAGGGGTGATTCCAGCTTATTTGAACTCAACACAGTCTTTCCATTCACTCCAGTTGTACGTTTCCCTCTTGGTGCTTCTCATGAGCAGCCTGCACTGAGCACTGTGTGCAGGGCTGCCAGGGGAGGGATCTGACATGCAGAAGCATCCTTCTGCTGAGTGTCCTTGTATCAGGGGGCTCAGAGAAATCTGGGACCATTGCAGGGAATTGGTATTGTGAGAAAGGTAATGGCACTGCAGCCCACAAATGTCTGTGAAGGAAGTTAAAAAAAAAAGTCCTAACATATAAAACCACTTAAAAAAAGAAAAAAAAAAGACATGTGGCTGGTTTACTTTTTCTCCATATCTGAATTAACAACGTGGAGACAGATAAGCTCTCTCGGAGGTATAGAAAGATGAGGAGTGGGAGTTTGGTTCCTACCCACTTCTAATTCAGATTATGTTGGTAATTATCAGCCCTATCATTTGGCATTTGGGAAGAAGAAATGGGAAGCTGAACAGCGATAATGGGCTGCTCCTGCATGAACTCTTCTGGCAAAATGCCTTTTAATTTCGTGTGAGCTGTGCCTGTGAGAAGACGGAAGGATCAAGCCATCATCAAGGAAGATTAGGATTTGGAGCCAGGTTTTGGAAAATTTCTCCTATCTCAGTTATGAATCAGACACCTTAGGTGAAATTCAGATCCTACTGAATAAGCATTTTGGTTTTTGAGTTTAGCAGGGCCAGGATTTCACCTCTAACTTCAAATATATCCAAACGCTGCTGTGCATGCAGCTTGGAGCTAATTACCAATGTTACATCCTAAAATTGTATCTCATTTAGATTAATCTTGTACCACCTGATTCTGCTTCTCCTGTAACTGAAGTGAGTTCCGATGCTGAGTTCAAGATGTTGGCACTGTCCCTTTATTACTGTGCTGCTTTACAGAACACCGATATTTTTAAAAATGAATCTTCTTAATTTATATTATTCATAATAACTTTAGAGTGCAGGCTTGGTTTCATTTACACCAGAAATAGGATCCTTTTTCTCTCTCCTGGAAGGAAGACACTCTCAAGGGGTTACTGATATTTGTGTGTTTGACTTTAAGGCAGAAGTTTGTTCCTAATTAATTGAATAAGTGCTTTAATCCCTGGCCTGAGGGCTTCCCATAGAGCATTAGCTGTATTAAGAAGGAAATGGAGTGTAATCCCTTTAATACAAGCACAGGAGAACACGAGAGTTTCACATTTCTGGAAATAATTTCTCTCCTTGTTGCATCATTTTTTTAAAATAATAATTTGCATAAAATAATGTGGGGACGAAGGGCTTCTCCTCCTGCCTGACTCCAGTGCTGAGGTGTTAGCAGCACCCGATGCTTGCCAGAGCTCCAGTTACAAGCTGGTGCGTAACAGGGTACAAAGAGAAATAACTCTGGAAATTCAGGTCATTCTGACAGTGCCTGTGAACCCAGGTCTGTGGAGAGGAGAGTGTCATCTTTCTGACTTGTCCACCATCACGAGCATTTGCTACTATTAGCACTACTGCAGTGCCAGAGAACCTCATTTCTGAACAGATATCCAGGCTCATGTGTAGCTACAGAAACTGGACTCTTGGATGAGATTCAGCTGACCAAACCCAGGCTTTCTGAGAAAGCAGTTTATTTCAACCCCAGGTATATATCTATGTTGGTCACATGAATTGGGCTAAACAAGCCAGGAAGGATCAGCTCAGAGGGAGACATCCTCTTTGTGAACATCTAAAATTAGGTGAGATTAGTCTTGGATGAGGTGGATCCAAACCTGGTTAATGCTTGACATTTTTAAAGAACAAACCAGTAAGGAGTACTGGTTTGCTGTTCCTGTCCATTCCTGGGACAGAAGACTAAGTCTGAGCATCTCCTGCTGTCTGATGTTGCAGGTCATCAGAGGAAGGTGGCTGAAACATCTAGATGGGACAGTTCAGGTGTACTCAGCTGCCCTCCAAGACCAATTATAGAATCATAGAATGGTTCGGATTGGAAGGGACCTTAAAGATGATCGTGTTCCAGCCCCCTGCCATGGGCAAGGACACTTTCCACTAGAGCAGGTTGCTCAAAGCCCCATCCAGCCTGGTCTTGAACACAGGGATGGGGCAAAGCAGAGATCCCTGCCTGCCTTACTTCTGCAATGTTTCCCACCCCTCAGTGCAGTCAGGTGAGGATGCTATTTTCTTCCACTCCCCACAATGCACCCACAAAGAGGGGCATTTCCTCGCTTTTCCCCATCTTTTGCTCCTATCTTCATCTAAAGCAGATAGAGAGCTCACAAAGGGCAGATTTTGTCCCTTTCCTGGCCAGCATGCCCACCTGCAGCTGAAAGAGCAAGGAGCATAGCTCCTCAGCTATGACTGTGGGGTGGCTTCTTCTCCAAGAAGCCCTCACCCCACACCTTCATGAGGAACCCCCTCCCACGAAGGTCTCCAAGGTTCTGGAGTGTGGGTGTCTCACAAAGGGACAGAATTTTCTCTTGACGCTGGAAACACTGTGGCCACACAGATTCTGGTGGAACCCAGTGCACATGTAGTCTATCCCATGTTTGACCCCTGGCTGGCTCTGGTGGTAGGGTGCTGCCATCTCTTCCCTGGGGAAGCGTGAAGGAGAGGATCTGGTTTGCTAGTTGTTAACTGAGTGACTGTTCTTGGCTCACTGAGGTTCTTGGCTCACCACGAGGGACACAATGAGGAAAACAGTGCACCCAAAGGTGAAGTACACATGGGACTCTCATCCTCACTGGTATTTGAGTAACAGGTTAGCAAGGTCTGCCAGTCTGGGAAAATAATAGGAGCTGGTGACAATGAGCTTCTGGCCAAAGACTGTCACTGGTCTGGGAAGCCCAGAGGATGAGAAGAGTGAACTGTTAGAAAAAAGGAATGAGAGTACAAAATATATTCTTTCCCCTAATGGATGACGTTGTCAAGGCACGAGGTGTCCTCCCTAAGGTGCTGTGTGATAGTGCGGTTACTGGTTCCTTTTAATCACATGAGACATGGGAGTGCAGACCTGTGCCTTGGCCAGCCAAGCCACCTCTGTGTGGTGGATGTGTTCGAGCAGCAGTGGAGATCACAGTAACACCTTCAGTTACTGCACAAGGTCTCATCTCCCCCAGTCCTCTGCCATGAATTGATGTTAGCACATTTAATACTTTGGCATAAAACCAACTCTCTTGGGTCAGCCTGAAGGCTTGTCTCACCCAATTTCCTGGCTCCAGCATTGCCCATGGTGGATGCCAAGAGAGGAACCGAGGAAACAAGATATGCACATTGTCCTTCTTCCCTAAAATCCTCTCCCTATCTCCATCATGATTTTCGGTGTTAGGACAGGTGTCACTGGCTCAACATCCCTTGGAAGAGTTTTCCTCTATAATTTCTCCAGTCACTTTGCAGAATGAGCATTGACATTAGCCAGCACTTAACTTTAAATATGTGATAAGCACATGGGAAATATTATTGAAATACGAGACGGAAGCACATGCTGATTTAACCTGAGTGACACTGGACCTCAGCAACTGATCAAAGTACTTCAGCGGCTTTATATTAGTGCTCTGCCTGGGGGCATCTGAACAGTCACAGGAGGCTTGAGAAAGGCAGGAGGAAGGTGTTTGTTGCAAGGGACGCCCTGAGACAAGAAGAGCCCCAGAGAACCATTGCCAAAAGATGCCTTCCTGGCCACCCAGCTCAGGGCTCAACTGATCAAGGGGTGCCTCTGTTGTACTGGCCCTAGGTGGCCCAGATGCTGAGATGCTGTGCTCAGAAGAGCAGCTTATCCTCTCCTGAGATGTGAGGGAGCATTTTGGGTTTGTATCACTTTTGAAGGCTTCCCTCAAGTCCTAGCAGCTCCTTGTATTTGCCTTCTCTCATTTCAGCTGCATGTGTCACCGGGCATGTACAGGAGTTCATACAAGAGAGACTACCAGTGGTGTGAGGCATACCTGCCACCCAGAGAGGAAGACATTCAGGTACTGTGGGCCTTCCCTTGCTTGGCTCTTTAGCCCATGGTGCCAGCTCCTCTATCATGGCTACAGAACAGCCAGGGATGGGGTCGGTGCCAAGGGGGCAGGAGATGCGGGTGCCATTTACACCAGCAGGGTCTGCTTTGGTCCCCACCACTGTGACCTACCAGCAGATCACATCGCACCCAAATGCCCTTGGCTTGTGTCCCCATCCCGTTTGCGGGAAATCCCCCTTGAGCCCTCCAGTAAAGCTGTTTGGGGCGGGCGATGCTAATTACACTCATTAAGTCAGAGAACTAACACTGCTTGCTGAACCCCCGCCTAATCCTTGGACTCCTATTGCTCCCTGTGGGGCTGATGGAGTACGTCAGGATTAGACCCATCCCAGTAGTGCCTCAAGGAGGGGGATTGCATTTGGGATGGAGATATCTCCTTGCCCTGACATGGGCCTGAGAAGACTTCTGTGGGGAAGCTGATGTTGTTTTTTTTCTAATCTCCTTGCAGTGCGAGCAACCCCCTGAGCTATTTAATCTGATTTGCCTCGCTCTGCCTGCCCTGGCTTAATTGCTTGTGGCAGCCCGGTGGGGACAGCTGCGGTTTGCCCTGGGCCACTGCGGAGAAGTGGCAGGGGGCATGTTTGGTTGCTAAAGTGCTTTGGGCTTGTATGTTCACAAGAAAAAAAAAAAAAAGAAAAAAGGTTCAGGCTGAGGAGGAAAAAGGAGGGGACAACAGAGAAATCATTGTGTGAAGGTGCCCGCTGGAGCAGAGGGGCTGTCTGTGGCCACCGCTGCCATCCTTGCTTGGGCAGCAGTCTAGGGAGCCCTCTCCTCCCCTCTCCTTCCCTCTACCCTCCTCCTGCCCCGGGGAGCACTCCTGCTGCCAGCAGCCTTCATTAACGGTCCCGCTCCGGGCTCCCGCTGTTCTCCAGGGCTGGTGAGCTCTTCCTGGGCAGCCCCAGCCTTAGGTGGCTGCTTCGCTTCCAAGAGCCCAGATCCTGGCTGGGAGGGCAGGATTTAACCCCTGCCTGCTGGACCACAGTTTCCAAGCTGTGCATCTCAACTGCTTTTTCTTTTCTGTTTTTTTTTGTTTGTTTGTTTGATTGATTGATTTATTTTGGTTTTTCGGTTTGGGGTTTTTTTGTGTTTTTTTTTTCTTTTGGAAGGCTGCACACTTCCTGTGGAGGTCCTGATGTAGTCTGGGAGATAAGAAGGGAGGGAGCACCTGAGATATGTCTGCTTTCCTCGGGTTGCAGCTCCCTTTGACTCTTTATTGACTCCCAAGGCCTGCAGAGGAAAGCTGTCCCTCTAGGTAGCATGATGATGAGGTACTCAGGAGGCCCAGGTTTCCCTCTTAGTGCTGCTGGGGTTGGTGGGGTTTTTTTATGCAGATAAAACCACTGTGGTGTTTTTTTCTCTGTGAAATTACGAACAGTAGCCAGTTCCTAAGGGAAAGGTGAGGAGCTCCTAGAGTTAAGGCAGAAAGCTCTGGCTGGTGAGCCATACACACCATGGGCTCCTGGAAACTCTTATCTCTCTTTTGATGCGTCATGAGAAGCTCTGGCCATCCTCGGTGGAAGAAGCCCCCATATACAGGTAGTTCCTGTAGCTCTACAGCTTCCATCCAGCCTTACTGCCATCATGGTGAAAGAGAAGCCACCTTAGGGAGAGCCCTGGGGAGCTTGCAGGTTGAGGAACAAACAAAAATCCATGGAGATTCAAACCAATGACAGACAAACCCTGTGAGGATGGTCTTCACTGGCCCCAGCAGCCTGGCAGAAGTCACAGCAGAAGAGTCTTTTACTGAGCCCCTAGAAAGGAGCAACTGGCTCATGATGCAGCTGTAGTGTGCAGCCAGCTAAAGAGGCTGGAGCCAGAAGAGCCACCCAGAAGAGCCATGCCAGCAGCCACATTAGCATTTCCCCAACACGAACCCTGGAGCCATTCCCTCTCCCACCAGCAAACCACTGCTTGTGCTGGGGCTCGCTCCCTCCTCCTACTGTCCACCAGGGTCCCAAGCCATAAGATGGGCAGAAAGAGGAAGCCATGATGTGTTTTTAATGACAGATATGTAGCTGGTTTGTGGCCGTTGGGTCCCCAGAGGTGCTGACCCCACCAAAGCCTGGGTTTTTTAATGGGCATGTAGCATTGCTTAGAGGATCACAGAATCATTTAGATTGGAAAAGACCTTTAAGATCGTCAAGTCCAACTGTAAGATCATCGAGTCCAACCATATGATCGAGTCCACCCCACCCAAGCTTGTTGATGCTTTAGCAACTGTTCTTCCCCATCGCTGCATCTCCTTTCACATGGGACTTCTTCCGGCAGAAGCTGCAGATTGCAGACGCCCAGCTAAAAGCCAAGGAGTTTGCTGTACCCCAGGAGGAGCAAGCAATGACCTTCAGTGACAGCGTTGTCTGGCAGCGGAGAAAAGGCATCCCAGCACCGAGCACCAAAGCCAGCAGTGGTGCTGATGACACAGGAGGTATAAAACCAGAAGGTACCACCTCCAGCCCCAAAACCTCGCAGCAGAGAAACCGCCTTACTCTAGTCCTTCCCGTTGCAGAAGGCTACCTGCCAAAGTACTACCCTGCCACCGAGCTGGCGGCGATCCAGGCAGAGGCATCGGAGAGGCCGCGGGCTCTCGCTGAGCTGGGGAACGAGCCGTCTTGTTGCCAACATCTTCCAGCTGCTGCTCAGACTGCTGGAACAGCAGGTAACCCCCGGCGCGGGCAGATGGCTGACTGGCCATCTCAGCTACCTGAGGGGCTGTCTGCCTGGGCCTTTGCCAGCTGAGCTCCCCCTGCCCCTGGCCCACATGGCTGGACGTGCGCGGATGGCAGCCTCCTCGCAAAGCCTCGGCACTGGGCTGAGCACAGGAGGATGGGCAGCGAAGGCACAGCACCCCCTTACCATGAATACACAGCTCCCCAACCAGCTCAAAGTGTGGGCGTCGTGACCTGTGGTCTTAGAAACATCTGCAGAACCGTGTTTGATGCATGAAGGGCCCCTGCTAGCCAGGTATCGGCACTGCAGCATCTCTAGGAGATTTATCTTCGCAGCTCCTTTGGGATGTGCAGCTGACCCCACGTTGCAGGTGGCAAATAAAAGCACAGAGAGGCAACAGAACTGTGTGGCTGAGCACAAGGGAGTTGGGTGTTTCACACCAGCAGCCCCTAGTGCCCTGCTGCTAGGGATGGCTCTCTGACAGCAAAGGGGCTGGTAGCTGGCCCTCAGCCGCACCATTTAACTGTTTGCTTGCGTGGATTAAAGTGATGAGGAAAGTCAGGAAAACTAAATTAGTCGTCACCATCACTCAGCCATGGCTGACCTTCCCAAAGTAGCAGAGATCTTCCTCTGAGCTCCTGTGTGAGGGAGAAGAGTACAGTGTTGCTCCACAATACTCCAGGGTCAAACAGGAGGACGTGAGCAGGAATGTCCTCTCTGTTCCCTGAGCTCACTTTTCCTACTATGGGACATCTGTGTCTGGATTCTGTCATGACTAGTAGGGAGAATAGACACAGCTATCTCCTGTAGCTTAAATGCCACCTTGAGGATGAGGTGAAGTAAACCCTGGCAGGTTTTCTCTCTCTCTACTCACTAGAAGGAGATTCTGGACAAGCAGCTCAGACAGACATGTCTCACTTTGGACAGTTCATTTAGACTCCACTTAACATCTGAGGGCTTCAAACATCTTCTTCCTAAGCCCATCTGAAGCTGCCTTGTGCTAATGACAAAACTACTGTGGGCTTTTCCTTTCCTGCTCTGCCACTGTGTAGCCCAGCTGTGCAGTATTTCCTGCAAAGTCTTTCCCTTTCATACCTGAACCTCCTGCAGAGGGTCTCAGCTCCTTTTAGCACTCCAGGGCAACATGGAGTCAGCATAGCTCCTTCCACTTGCTTTGTATCACCCTAAATCCTTCCCCTACCGGCTTCATGAACCAAAACAATGCAAAATTGACGCACCTCAGCAAAGCTCTGCTGAAGTGAACGGGTCTGCTCTGATTTATGCCAGATGAGGCTCCAACTTGCTGCTGTTGCTTGCTTGCTCCCACCCAAGGGTAGGATTTAGGTAATTGATGGTGCTTCCCAACTAATGTGCTCTTTTCTTCTCCCATCTCTCAGGGATGTTTCTGCGCAAGCAGAAGCTGATCCCGGTCTGGCCCACCTACTGGCAATTCGCCATGGAGACGTCCCGGGCAAGGCAGCATGATGCTCAGCAAAACAAGAACATGAGCCTGAGCTCATCTGCTTTGTTGGAAGGTCAGTGGATGGAGGTTGTGGCAGCTGCTCCATGTGGGTGACTTGTGGCCTGGCTTTAGGTTTTTTAATGTAATTCGGGAAGAGACTAAGGAAGGTGAAGGGAAGGTGAATGACATGGGAAAGGTCTGCACAGTCCCCATAACCATCTGCCTATCTGTGGGCAGAAGCAGTGCAGACAAGAACAGTTATCTTCCAGAAGAGGTTGGAGTGTTGTAAATAACGTTTCTTTCATCCCAGTTTCCATGTGGGCCACCCCATGTAGCGCACCCCTGCTCGATGTGGCCTGCCTGGAAATAACGTGGCAGGATGGGAACTGCTGCTGCCACCGCTTGGGTTGTGTTAAACAGCTTGACACCATCATGCACAAGTGAAATATCTGTAACCTCAGCCTCAGAGAAAACAACAAAAGTACTTCACTAATGACTCATTACAGGAATGTGTCATTTTTAAAACACGCAGAAAACCTGATAGGTCTACAGTGAGCGGCTCTTTGCGTGTCCTCCCTGCTTTGTTGGAGAGGTGGCAGCACATTTCTCCACAGACAGATCTGCTCAGTCAGAGGGACACACAGGCAGGCCACTAACATACAGATGGGCGCTCTCTGGAGAGAGATGGACAGGAGATGGCACCCCTTCAAACCAGCTCCTACAGGGATTTTTGGGGAAGATAATTCAACAGATGTGACAGTCCCTGCTTGGGGATTAAGTGGGCCCTGGATCTCTTCACTGGTTTAGTCCCTGATTAAATAAAGCAGAGACGCGTTGCTCTGGCGTGATGAAAGGGAAAATCTAGACAGTAGGGGAAAATATATACCAGCTGACGAGTCAATGTCCAGAGGGAAGAGCACAAGTTATCATTTCCAGATCTGCCTTGCGTGACTTCCATCATGCATAAAAGACTATAGAAAATAAGGGCTGAATAATCTCATCTAAAAGACGTTATCTACACCAGGGAAGCACTTCTTGCATTTTCCCTTGGCCAGCCCTTCGATCGTGGTAGCTCCAATAGGAGCACTGAAAGAGTGAACAGCTGACGGATCTCAGGAGAAGGGGGAACACTCAGACTGTGAGATACAGGAGATAGAGACCCAAAATAGTCTTTCAACTATTTGGACTCTCTTTCTCTAGAGTACTTTGACCTTGACTGGAGAAGTACCTACGACACAGATTTCCAGCGCTGGCCAGGAGCCCATGGTGGACACTGTACAGCAAATAAGAGCATTTCTCACATTTTCCCTGAAGATGAGAACTTAAGCCAGTAAGGGAAAGATGGGCTGAGGGGTGAGGGTGGCTGGTGGGAGTGGGCACAGGGTAAGAGTAGGGTGGGGAGGTTTTGGAGAGCTGTTTGGGATTGGAAGGTGTTTCTCAAGCTTATTTACCTGTGTCCATGTTATGCAATGAGCTCAAATGAATTCCCTTGGGGCCAAATCCTTTCTCAAAACCTGCTCAGCCTTTTCTTGAAAAGTTTTGCAGTGAGATTGATAGGAGTGGGGAAACTTCTCCTTGTCCCTGTGGAAAGAAGATGCTGAGGTCCCTGTGGACGCTGAGGACGGGAGGCACGTCTCAACATTTCCATGCCCAGGCTTCCCCTGGGAAAGGGCTCTCTCAAATGAGACAGGGCAGGAGTTGTTTGCAACGTGACTGACTCATCCGCACGCTATGAACAAACAGGCATGAACTGCTCCTGAGCTCTCATGTCTCACCGGAAAGGCAATTCCTCCCCGCTGCCTCATCCCCCCACCTCCCGCTAACACACACATGTATTTCAGCTCCGCCTTGAAGTCTCGATTTTGATCTATGATCCTGGAGTTATGTGTAGGCTGGAGACCGAGCCTGTGTAATGGTTGATCTAGGTGGGAGACTGGTCCCAATGACAGCCATGTGTGTCGCAGCATCTGCGCTGTTCCTGATGGAGACAGGCTGTTCCCTGTCTCCCCCATGCCAACGGCACGTGCTTTCGTTAGCTCTATGCTATTTCTTGGCTGGGTGGTCAACTGCTGAGGAAGGGGAGGCAGGTCCCCTGTCCTGATGCACAAAGCAGAGGATAGAGGTCCTCTTCTTAATCCCTTCTCCATGTTCTTTGCAGGAACTGGGTGTCCGAGTACAAGGACAACTACAGCGTTTTCTCGCAGAGGCTGGACCAGTCATCTCCAGTGCCTGCTGTGGGGCTGTGCACTGTGCTGTCCTTTGGGGAAGGGACTGCCATAGACACAGCCCAGTGAGTGGTGCTACAGGTGGCCGTGGTAAGTACCAGGATTATCCATTTTTGCACTGAGAGCTGGGAATAATGGTGGGATTTCAGGGACTGAGGCAGTGAGAAAAACGATAAACAGTTGTGAAATTTGGTACAAAGTATCTCGAGACACAATGGTAAGAGCTTTACTGCTGGAATATCCTTCTGAGTGACAGCATTTGTCCGCGCTCATTGCAGGGGTGTTGGACTAGATAACCTTCAAAGGTCTCTTCCAACCCAAACCATTCTATGATTCTATGATTTTATGGGCTTTTTGAAAGGGATTTTCCAGCTAGATCCTATTTGGAAAATATTTTTTACTACGAGGGTGGTTAAAGACGGACTGGAAACCAGGGAGGTGGGGGAATCACAGGGAGATATTCATGAGGTGAGGAGACAAGATCTGAGCAACCTCATCTGAGCTGGCCCTGCTGATGTATTTTAGGCTGTATTACCTATGTTGTTCTGTGATTACAGCTCTTTGGCCCTCCAGGCTCTCTATGGTGTATTGTTCATCACAATATGTGTTCCATCACCCTGGAAGCCTGGAAACTTCCTCTCTTCCAAACCCACCACCGTATTTACCAAATACCTGTGCAGTGGTTAGCATAGACCTTTTTAAACACATATTATCATTAAAATCTTGCAAGAACCTGAGCTTTTGTCATTGTCAGAAAAAGGGTTTTTTGGGGGACAGTGCAGGCTACAGAGCTAGAATCACTCAGGCAGTTTCAGTTTGTGTACTTTAAAGAAAACTTGCCAATGAATTTTGTCTCACAACAAGACGTACTATGTATTAAACGACATTACTTGTGTTAATTTACCCTCTTTAAAGACTTGTACACTCACAGGAAGGGAAATATCCATGTTATTCAGGGCAGCTGAGTACCACCCTTGCAGAGCTCCTTCCTCTCCTTTGTATTTAGCTCCTTTTTTCCAGGGTTTGGCCACCAATTTCAACTAGTGCTGGATAAGCCAGAATTCAGTTTGTTGTGTATGGGAGATTTCTAGGATTTCTGGCAAGAGCAAGGCTTCTCCCAGCCTGAAGATGGCAATGCAGAGCCACCGATCCCAGACATGGGAAGGACTGATGCCCCCATCACAGCCTTCCTGCTGAGCCCTGTGGCTTTAGTGATCGGATTCTGGGTCTTCTGAACTAATGCCAAAATTAGCCTGTGGTAGATGGTGTAGAGGCCTCCCTTCCTAGCACTTAAAAATGTGTTGCTTTTAATGAGACATCATTGTGGCATTTAGCAATAAGCAAGAGATTCTTAATGGATACTGCCAAAATATCAAAAGACAATAATAATGACAACAAATAGATTCTTTTACAGCAATATCAAGCATACACAGACCTGATGGTGACAAAGAATATATATATGCACAGCAGCACACTGTTCCCTGTCTCAAGGAATTTATCATCAGAGGGAATCACCACTCTTGTTTCCTGAAACTCTGCAGGTGTTTCAACCCATCACCAATTGCCCATGGCAAATTTTACCATTAATGTGCTGCAGGACCTCAGAAAAGCCACGTGCATGGCTGTGTTTGCCTGCGGGAAGAGAAGCATTGAGGGATTTAGCAAAATGTCATCTGGCAAGACCAAGCTCTAGGCAGATGATACAGGGAGGTACAAGGGTCCGGTACTTCTGCAAAGCTGCCCTCTCTCCCTGCTCTGGAATGGGATGTTACTGATCACAGCACACATGGCATTTGGATGGCACAGAGTGTTTCCACTGAAGCTAAGTATAGTGGACTAGTGGCTGCAGAATTTGGAGAGCAGAAGAAATGAAACTGCATTTGACTTAAAAGTAGGGAAAAATAATACTCGCTTACATCAGAGGCTGCTGAGGGGACACAGACATTTGATTTCCTTGGGAAAGGAGGCCATGAGAATAGAGACGTTCTTAAGGGAACATGTACGCTTGCACCACTTAAAATGAATCCCATGACCTCACTGATAGGTTTTTGTTTTGAAAAAGCGTCATTATCCTGCCTCCCCATGCTGGAGACAGGCTGCTCAAGCTGATTTCAACATGGCTCTGCTGCAGCAGTTAGTTACACTGACAGGGCTTGTGTCCAGACAAATGCTTAGTGCACATATACAAGGTAGTTTCAAGTCGTCTTCACTAGGAAAAAGTATGTTGCTAAATGCTAATCAAAACAGGCAACTACAGTGGAAACAAATGGCTGTATCAAAATATATGGTTGTGATACATCCATCAGGCGCACTAATGAAGATATTCAACCAGGCAGACAGATGCTGGATTTGCTAACGTGGTCCTTAACTGTGTGCCAGGGAGCAGGAAGGAAGCTGCTGAGACTGAAGATAAATGTCCTTCCTGGATATTCTGGCAGTAGGCCTATTTAGGCACTTTCCAGCTTTGGAGACCAGGCTTAGAGACAGGGCTTTCAAAATCTGAGCTCTCACATTTCAGCCCCCCCACACAGGATCCAGCCTGTTGCATCCCCATCTCCTGCCATTTCTCTTCCCAGAATTACGTTTATTTTCTTCCATACCTGTGTTTTCTCAGCCCTCATTGCCCCTTCCCACTATTGGTCTGTCTGATGTTGGCAGCGATTTCTGTTCATGATATTTTTTTCCCCCTCCTACTCCCTGCTGTGGAAACGGTCTCAAGCCAGTTTGAGCACACAAACGGGAGGGCAGTGATCAGCACAGTGCCAAGTGTGGCTCCAGCAAACTCACACCACCCCAGGGAGTCTCCACCGTGTTGTAACGGAGGACATTCGGGGTGCATGCAAATACATCCAGATGACAGAAGGGATCAGCCACAGAGACAGCTTCCCTGTCTCCCCAGAGCCCCCAGTGACGCTTTTCTTACCTGACAGATGGAGCCTCTTTATGTGAGTGACACAAGAGGAAAATCAAAGAGCGCTGGGGTCAAAAAGAGGTGAGAGGCTCTAGCCAATACTGGCATTACCTCAACGCCATCCATTTTCATTCCTTTTTCTGCATAGCCTGGGCTCATGGCACCAGATAACACTAGCCATGAGCTCAACAGGATTCAAAAGGGGATGCAGCATTTGTATGGAAAATGTCAGGTTTGACACTAGCCACAAAATCCAAGGGGGGAAAAAAAAAAAAAAAAACAGAGCAGAAAAACAAGCTGGACATGAGTCAGACTGTGGCTGGTGGAAATTAAGGAGGTGTTTTCCAGGACCATCTTGCCTCATTATTGCTGTAGTTGACCCAAGGCATATTACTCCAAAGCATTTGGTGCTGCCCTATGTCCGAAACAGAGGAACATCCCTGGATGGAGGCTCTTTTGATCCACCAGTTGTCTGGTGGGAAATGCACTGAAGTCATGAGAAGGGCAATCCACTTGAAATCCAAGTGGTAGCATCCACAGAGCAGTCAGAAAGGTGTTTGCTCTCAGGACATTGAGTTGGAGCTATCACAAGATGCACAACCAAGTGAATGCAAGTTTTGCAGGTTTTGTCCCCAACACTCAACTTCAGAGAAAATAGGTTTCTGGTAAGGCTGAAGTGATGCTTTTTGTGTGAGTGCCTTAGTGCCATCTCCTGGGTGGAAGGGGAAATTCTCATTTTGGAGGTGCAACGTGTGGTCCAAACACCCTTGGCTGTGCAGATTCGGTCATTTAGCACCTGGCTGTGTGGGTGCAGAATCAGGACCCCACACTCTGCCTCATCCCTCTATATTGCTATATAAATGTCTTCCTTATGATACGGTCCTAAGGGATATGTGTTCAGGAAAAAGGATGCTCTGGATTCATTTCCCATCATCACCATGATTTTTTAAGTAGCATTTTCCATCTTTTATTTTTTCTTTTATGTTTCTCAGCATCTAAGAACAGACTGAACACTTAACTAACTTGGTACACCCTTTTGGGGAGAATTAATTCAAAAAGTTCAGAGGTTAATCCAATAATGACTATTTCTCTACTTTGAGGCTTTCTAGATCTCACCATTAGAAGCTGGATTTAGCCCAGCAGAGTCAAAACATTGGTGTTTCGGTCATTGGTATAATGGGTAATTTGTAAAAGAAAAACATCTGCAGTAACACTGCTCTAACACACTTTCTGCTTTGCAAACAGCACAGCTCACTGAAAGCCACTGTTTCTCAGAAGGCTGCAAGGACATTCAAAGGCTGACCCTCAGACTCATCACCAAGAAATCAACTTTTCCTCTTGCTTTGATGAAAATTCTTCCTGTGGCCACCACCCAACCCACAATTATGCAATAAATCATTCAGCAGGTGCTTAACATTAAGCCTTGTAAATAGTCCCACTACCATGTTTTGGCAATTAATAGTTAGAGCAAAACAACTTTGAGCACATCTGTAGTCACACGGCTTCAGTGGGATGAAGAGCAGAGTTCCCATGGATCACTGTGGAAAAGCACTTCCCTGAAGAAGACTTCACCACTGCAGCATCTCTGATGTCCAAATCACAAGGTAACTAACCGTGTGCTTAAAGCTAGCGTGTACTTAAGAGTTGTGTTTGATCAGGTTCTTCATGTAACGTTTTATAATGTAGCTGTCATGGAGAGAGTGGGAAATACCTTTCTTCAGCGGGGGCTGAAGTAGCAAGAGTTAACAATGCAAAAACACCATCTGCTGCAGCCAGGTCTCCTCTGGTAAGTCCTGCCCAAGGCTCAGCCATCAACCTGAACAGAAATTATAAGTAAAGGGAAAGAACTTCTGAATTAACCTATTTCACCAAACTATGATTTTTGTCAAGGGATGATGATTAAACAAAGCTTTGGGGGTAGTATAATTTTAGTGAAACTTTCTCTTTTGATTGAGTTCAAAAGAGAGAGGAGAAGCGAGAAAGGTTTAATGTGAAGTAACCGGTGGCTTGGCAGTCGAGAAAAAAGCATGTCAGGCACCCCTCCCAGTTTTCCTAAAATCAATTCTTTTGCTTTCCAAGTAGCCTTGATTAGCCCCATGTTTGTTTCCATGTTGTTGCTTTGTGGCAGCTTAGGTTCTATTATTGCTTGGGACCGCAT